GGGGGCTGCCCCGCTGCTCCCTGAGCAGCAGAGGCCCCGCAGCTCCCGCCATCCCGCCCGGAGGGCCCTACCGGGCAGGAGGGCGGCTGGGCCCGGGGAAGGCAACAGCAACTCGGCGTTTGCTCCAGCCTTGTGTTCTTCAGGGAAAGCAACTCTTACAGGGCCAGGAAACAAAACGAGAAAGTTTGTACCATGCCACCCTAAAACGAGAAACTTCACCTGGGAAGCCAATATAGGAAGATTTTAGAGCTAAAATGCACTAAATGCTGACTAGATGACCTCTAAAGGTCCCTTCCAACCTTAAGGATTCTGTGATTGCCAAACTATTTCAGGTTCCAAGCAAAACCCTCCCTCTTCAGATGGCAATCTTGGACGGACAGCACAGCAACCAAGGCAGAGCCGGCAGGATGCACCCCATGGCTCCTGACATGAAAACCGAATGTTTGCTCAAGAGATCAGCTGTTAATCTTATTTTGAAAATGTATACAAAATTAGTTAAGCCAGCGGGTCTAAGCACATTCTTTGTATTCAACAGGAAGTCAGGAATTGAAAACATTTGGATCTGTCGTGATTCAAACAGAGCACTTAGCTGAAGGAGGGAGCCCAAGCACAGAGGAGTGAGATACGGAGACATCAGAAGTTTCTCCCAAACCTTGGAAGAAAGAAGTCTCTTTTTTAGATGGTTAGAAAACCCCCGGCTTTGGGCTGCCAGGAATGATCCCTACCGAGCTCATCTCCTGCCTAGAAGAGAGGGAAGAGGTTTGGGAGGGGAGAGGCCCCACGGAGCCAAGCAACGTCCTGCAGGAACCCCCCTTGCAGCCCCAGCGAGCCCAGGGAGCCGCCTGGCCCCAGCGCTTGCACCGAGCGCGTTTGCTCCGCGGCGCTCGCGGGGCGGCCGGCAGCAGCTGCAGACATGGCCAGGGCAACCATAATAGGAAGAAAGACACGAGCGCCAGGGTTCGGCGAGCGTGACCGAACACAGGAGCGTCGGTGCGACACGGGGAGCGCGGAGGCACCGGCCTGGCACAGGCTGCTCCTATCAGCTCTTAAAAAGGAGTCCAGAACAAGCGTGCAACTGCGCGCTGAACTCCTGCGCCCTTCTGCCCACGAGCACGTGAGTCATCCCACTGCAGAGAGAAGGGCCGGCTCCCATTTAACTATGGTAACAGTGATGTCAAAAAAACCTAAATCTCCAGGGCATTTTCCCTCCAGTGACATGTGCTTCTTCTATAAAAGGTGAATTCTGCCTTGCTGTCTCTTCCCAAACAGAGCCAAAGTGAGGTTCCCTGGCACAAAGTGCTCCACGCTGCGCTGCTGACTCTGGCCGCTTTGCGTCAGGTTTTCTTCCAAAGGGCTCCCCCTCTCTGAAGCCCATCTGTTCCCATTACACGAGCCTGGCAGCCCAAGATGTCTTCTTTTCCAGAAAAAAAAATGTATTAATAACGAAAACACCTGAGGAGGACAGTGGAGAAGAATCAGAATAAGCTAAAAAGACTATGCGCACCCTCAGCTGTTGGGTTTATGTCAGGTCCTAGGGGTAATAGCTGGATGCAGGAGCAGCTTTCAGGATCTTTCTCCCGATCATTTTGGCTGTCTGCAGTTTCTGGGGAGCTCTGTGTCCCCTGCATGGCCGAGCCGCGCTGGGGACTGGGCGCAGAACAGGGCACGCGCTGCCTGGCAGAGCGGGGCACAGCGGAGCGCCCGATAACGACAGCTCCAAACAGCAGATATTATATTGCTGTAGGAGTCAGTGACATGGAGAAATGCCCCAAAGATGAGGAGAGGAAAAAAAAAAGCAATATTTCAAGAGGCAGGATGGATGCACAGGAAGGCAGCTGGTGGACCTCAGCGATGAGAAAGTAAAAGCCAACGTGAAACTCCATAAACAGATATATTTTTGAACTAGTTTCAAGAGACATGGTGAGCCATGTCGCAGCACTTCCAACAGCCACTGAATCCAACATCCAGAGAGCTGCCTTCCCTAGATGCTCCCAGGGAGACCTGCGTTTCTGTGATTTGGGATATGTGCTTTCGGAGCGGTCATCTGCTCCAACACCCCTCCGGGCTGCGCGCGGCGAGCGGGTGCACGCAGGCTGCAGGCTTCCTCAGTCTGAGAAAATAAACCCTGCCAATGCTAATTTTGATCACGAAACTCCCCGGGCTCCCATTCCAACAGGAAATTGCGTTGTTGGCGGCACGGCTCAGAGGGAAAGGAAACCACAGGGCTGAGGCCCCGCGGCTCTGCACGCTCCGCGGCACGGGCAAAGCAGCAGCCCCGACTGCAACGGGGCTGCCCGTGTCGGAGCCCCCCAGCACCTCCACGAAGGTCTCCACATGCCAACATACCCAATCCCTACCACCCCATGCTGTCCTGGCCTCAAAAGGACTAGCAAAAACGCCAGCACTGAAGGGCCTGACAAATCATATCACAACAATAAGCCAACGTGAAACCCATGGCCTTCCTTAATTTTCATTTTTCAAGTGGAAAATTGGGCCAGAATGAGGAACTTGTTGCTTGCACAAGGCTGACTGGGCATTGCAGACACCTTGTGCAGACTGTGCGTTAATCATCATGCTACTGGCAACAAACAGCAATGCAAACAAACAAGCAACCCCTAAAGAGAGCCATCAAGCATGCAAAGCAAGTTAACGGGCAGCAGCTGCCCTCCAGGCCCTAAGTTTCACTCTGGGTCTGTATAGAAGCTAATCTGGAAAGCCAAATGCCTGTTGCTTAGAAATGGATTAATGTATAGGTGAACCTGCGTTGTCCTTGTCAGTGTAAAGTGATGGAAAAGAGTGGGAAGGAGGCACTGGATGAGGTTTCAACAACAAAAAATTGTGATGAGAGTAGATATAAATGCACACAAAACTACAAATTGGCACACACAGTACCTAATATTATCTGCCTGTTTCAGCGTGTTTTTCGTGTGTGCACACTGTAGCTTTGAACACTTGTGCCCCCAACTCGAAAGACAACTTTGTTCCTTACACAGAGCCAAAGACGGCCACAGAAAATCACTAAACATTCCCAGGGCAGAAACCCAGTAAAATCAACATAACACCCTTGATAATAGGAAAAAAAAAAAGGGAGCCCTGCAGAGTAAGTACTTGTTGAGGATTATAATTTAGTAATAAAATTTCATTTTCAGCTGAACTGATTTATGCCCTTATAAACTGGCAAAGTTGGCCCTTAGCCATGCAAATGCCTGACTGCTTATTCAAATGTACAAATGGAGGACTCTGGCAATAAGATTTCAAAATCTCTTTGCCCCATGCAATAAAGGTCATATCTGGTACACTGGAACTGAAAGCATGACAGGAAATGACTAACTGCACGCTCAGGCTAATTCACCTTCATCTCAGATCTGCTCAGCACACCAAGATCATGCAATTCGAACGGACATCACAGCCTCCATGTAGCAAAAAATAATCAGACTGCTCTAGTTACTACATTTGGGGGTCTACACATCTCTGTACAGAAATCACTGCAAAATGAAGGAATTCTGTTCCTTTTCCCTAACATACTTCTTCAGTTCAATTTCATTATTCCTTCTTCCACAGAGGCCCTTGGTTTTTTCAAGTGGAGGATGAAGCCATTCTGATTTCAAAGGTGATATATAATTTAAGTGAGTGTTTACAAAGCCTTTTGTAGTCCCTGGATAAAAGGCACCTACCAATTACACCTCTGTTTTGCACAGAAGTGTGTTCAAGGGGCTGCTTCAAGCTTGCTTCCAAACACGCATACCAAAGAGACATTTTTAATGCATGCCTATTATTTAAAGAGAGAAGAGACTTATTTTTCTGCTACAGTTGGTCAAAATTTGCCCTTTTTTAGTGGATTGTTTCCCAAACTCAAGCATTTGTAGTTAGTTTCTTGCATGTAACCAGATACCTTTGCAGTCAGTGTGACCCTGGTACTTTTGTGCCTTTCAGGGCTGTTGTTCTGGTACACAAAAGCAGCAGGGCAAAGTGAGTGCTGGGTACAGGGGGGAATACAAGAGGGAATGTCCCTCTTGGCCACGTGTTCTTGCCAGCTGTCCATCTGTTGATGGGCATCAGTTGTATGAGCAGGATCCCGGGTATCTGCGTGCTGGCTACCTGCAGGACGAGTAATAACAGCCTCTGTCTAGAGGACTTTCCACAGCTGCTGGTGTCCCTTGCAAGGAAAGGCAATCACGGCCCTAACCCCAGCATATCAGCACCTTCTAAATCTGGGGAAGGATTGAATCCTGGCAAAGAGCGACCGGCTCAGGTTACCGTCCGAGAACTGCGTGGTCTGAAACAAAACTACGATCATCTGTTGCCCGGGAGATGCTGTGTGTGCCAGCTGCAGCCTTCTGGAAAAAGGTAACTCTGCAAGGGCAGCATAGCTGGGCCTCGTGAGCGCGCGAACGGCCCAAGGGAGAGCGCGGCGGATCCTGGAAAGCACGAGGACAAGATCATCTTGAGCCGCTGCCTTGCCAAGTTTCCATCTCAGGCGGCTGATGCCTTCTTGGCTTGAGGAGCTGGTCCCCAGGTGTCGTTTACTTTCACCATACAGAGTTATCCACAAGCCAGGCTCTTTCTAAGAGCGTTTATCACTCGCATCCCTTTAGGTTACTCTTAAATATTCTTATTAAATATTTATTTCTAAATATTAAATATTTAGAATTAAAAATTCTAAAGAGGAGCCACCAGTTAAAATATCACATATTTTATGCAAAATCTTTAAGTAGCAAGTCCCTGGGAGATCTAGAAAGAGATCTGCAGGAAGCAGCACATGTTCTGATTTCTGCAGTGCGCTGCTGGGGTACGTTGGGATAGAGCGTCCTTGGGACGTCTAACGAGGGACAGTGTCATCACAACCTTGAGACCAAGCGGAACAGCCGTTACAAATGGGCACAAAGGCTCGTGGAGCTTGAATGCCCGGGTGTCACCCAGCCGAACAGGAGGTTGTGGTGTCTCTGCCCCTGCAGCGCTCCAACCTGGGCAGCGGCAGCCCCGGCAATGCTGCTGGCAGCAGCACAGGGAAGCACACGTGCTGATCTGCCTAAAAACTTGTGAGGAGATGAAAACGGCTCATTTTCGGAAAGAAAACACCTTACGGAAACCAAAGAAATGTTAGGAAGCCTCTGATCCAGGCCTTTGACTCATTTCCAGTGCCTCGTCCTCTCCCACGAACCTGAGGTTTATAGGGAGATTTGTCACAGATAAGGAAAGAACAGAACAGCTGGGGTAGGAGGGCCCTCTCGCCCAGACTCCAAGGTGAAGACCAGGGAGACTTGACGTTTGGGCCCCCGAGCAGAGGTGAGAAGAAATGCTCCATTTCTTAACTTTGGGGAAGCCATTTCCTGCTCATTCCCTCAAAGCGGCAGCTTGTGCCTTTCCCAGGGACATGCGGTGGCACCAGCGCCCTGAAGGGCAAACAGCAGGGTGCTCTGCCGAGCGCGCATTAACGAAAATAAATAAAACCCCTTTGGGATCTCAGGGTGCAAACACGCACAGCCCACGGGCTGCACGCGGAAACACGGCCACCCTGCTGCCTCCCCTCCGCTCTCCCGAGCGACCAGAACAAAAAAGCTTCATTCACAGAGCAAAAAGCTTCATTTACAGAGCAAAAAGCTTCATTTACAGAGCGTTGTCCCCAAGCAGCAGCTCCCTGCAAGCAGAAAGAGCCATCCCCAAGCAGTACCTTGCATTGCGGGATGCGGCGGCTCCGCGGGCAGCCCGGCGCGCTCTCCTGCCGAAGCCGAGGCCGGACTGGCTCCCGCGGGGACCCGCGCGGGGTCGGTTACAGCAGGTGGGACACACGAGAGCCTCTCGCTAGTAAATCATCACTCCACCAGCAAAACACCCCAGCGCTTGCCCAGAAACAAAAGCAGGCACATCATAAACCAGGGCCTGACCTCAGCACAGGGATTGCGTTTCCTACAGAGGTTCGGGTTTCATTACTTGCGGCTGGAAATTGGACTCTCACAATTAAAGTTACTCTAAATTTTCATATGAAACATAAAAAAAAAAAGATTCCTTTTTTTCTTTTTTTTAAGGCATAATTCACTTTAAAATCTTTTTTTTTCCCCCCCTCAATGTTATGGTGACCAAGAAGAGGAGCAAACAAGACTCAACAAAGTAAAATGCTAATAAACAACATCATTAGCCTTACCCAACAGGTCAGGTGCTAACGAAGGCGGCAGCAGAACTTTCACGGCTTTCTACTAGAAATGTTTCAATAACACTAATCCTAATGATCTACTTGGGGTCCATTTATTCCAAAAATTGAGTAAAAACTGCCCTTTTCCCCTCTTACTGAGAGTTCCAATTTTGCACCTTCTTCCTAAACTAAAACTCCACACTAGAGAGGATGTGAAAGCAGATTTCACCATTCCTTCATTGAGTCATTGTTCCGCAGAGCATGAAGCATGATATAATCCACGTACATGGTCCAACACCTTCACCAACTCAAAGTGCAATTGTGATTTTCCACACACAGCTCTTCAGGGGCTCCAAAAGCAACACATGCGAGACTTGGATACGAGCTCAGGGGGCCACACTTAATCTTTCTTCGACTTGCATGACGTTTGTGGAGGGCTGAGAAATACAAGAAATCAAACCCCTCTTGGCTGCGCTCCATGCAACACATTGTGTACTTTTTGCTATTTATGACTCCTTGGTAAGCACTGCTATTACTCTACATAAGCCAGAACACTCGGATGGATATAGTACATCATTTTTTCTTGGTATCAAAACGTTCCCCGAGATAGCCAGCAAAATACCTTAAAATTTCATTGCTGGCTTTTCTATGTAAAAACTTCTACACACTGAGAAAAGGGGCTGGTGAAATTACCTAATCCTCTCTCCAGCATATGAACTAAATATTAGCATCCTTAAATGGAAAGTAGTTTAGCTCCTTTTCTCCCTGTTGTAGATACCACAAACATATGTGATGATCCAGGGCAAGCCCAGAAGTGGAAGAGCCCTTAGTTTCCAGAGCTAAGTAGACCTGAAATCCTGCAGCTCCCATAGGATCACAGCTTCCTCCATCCCCTGCTAGATGTCACCAGCATAAACAGTATTTACCCTCCCAGCACCTGCAGGGCAGGGAGTTATTACACCCCCGCATTGGGACCCACACCCTGGAGGATATTGGCACAAGCTGTAAAAAGGTAGAGGGAGAAAGAGAATCAAGATCTGAGCCCTCACATAGAAGGGAAATCACGTAGGCTTGGACTGTTCAAAAATCAGGTTGCTTCAGGGTTGCAGGAACAACTGTTCCTGCATGTCCAGAACGGGCTTTAAACTGCAAAGATATGGTTTGTAAATCAACTGCCAGTTGTTTTAACAATTTGCATTTCATAATAAAACACACACCCCCCTTTGCAAAGACTTCAGGAGCCAGAACTCAGTCTGGAAAGGATTTTTATGGTCACACTGTAAACCCGCAGAGAGTAGGGGTCTAGAACGGAAACAGTTCATTATGGCTAAAACACAGATCGTGGGTCCTGCCTGGAACATCTGGGATTATTTCCCCAGTTAAGCAAATTTCTGTTCCTAAAACCCCCTCCGATACTCAAAGGCACTTGTGGAAGATGCTGAGTAATCACTCTTCTTCCCAGAAAAGAAACTGAGAGTTGTATGTGTTGAGGGGGTTTCTGTGTGAGCACTTGAAATTTGGATAAATAAATACAAAATATCAAAGCCATATTTACATTCCAGGGTAATAATTAAATATCTATAATCTTGTGGTTCCAATATTCTAGGGATTTCTATGCACTAAAATATTTATTCACGTAAAACATCTGCAGCAGCTGGAAGACATTCATTTGACCTGCTAAGATTCATTAGTTTAAAAATACATAAATAAAGTGTTCATTTTACTTCCAAAAAAGCTAACACTGCTCCTGTCAGCTCTGCTAGAGTGCTTGGTACTTATGCAATCTTCTTAGCAGGAGGTATCAGATGTCACAGTTTCACAAATGCCTACAAATACCTGTTAACTAAAACAAGCCTTGTATTTAGGTTAATGTTCTTTTATGAACTGATATAGACTAACCCAAGTCATTCACAGCAATATGAAAACCAGCTTTCAAAGGGTTGAATCCCTGTTTCCTTTCTTCCTCTGTCTCCTACCTTCTGAAATCAAGTGCCCTGGAGATACTGAAACCTCCTTTTAAAATTTACTGATTAGCAGAAGTTCCTGCATAATCTAATACAACTTTCTAAAAATTCAGAGTAAGCACAGGGAACAATTGGGACCATAAAAAAGGAGTTGAAGTTTGCTTGGTATCTGCAGGAACTCACTTTTCTGGGCAAAGGTTTGCAAAGGGTTATTTCTTGGCTAGCCATTTTTCTTCTGCTAAAAGATGCTGAGGTTTAGTGAAGTTTCTGCAGAGTATGCAGCAGTGTTTAGCATTCGCTCAGCTAACGAGTTAAATCATTGCAGCTCTCCAATGACTTGAAGATTATGGGTGTAGAAGGAGGGAATGCTCAGCTAGGGGAACGTCGAGCAGCCACGACCAAGCTGCGGTTAAAACAGACACCAATGATCCTATTCAGCTCCCAAACCTCAGACAGTTTCCATTTTCTCAATAACAAAGCATTTTTGTGGAGTGAGGTAACAGGCCTCCATCTGCCAGGTCTAGCTCTCCACTAAGATTTCCTAAGAGGGCGGCTGGCCGCTGCGCTGGGAGCGACGCGCACGAGGCAGGAGCCTTTTACGCCCGGGAAACAAAAGGCCAGAGCAGAGGGCACACTCCAAGGGGAGCCTTTTGGGGTCGGTGACACGAGTTCTAGGAGTTTGTATCAAAAGTAGCCTCGAGGACTCTCCAAATAGCGCAGGAGAACAGAGCCCACGAGGCTGGGACAGAGCGAAACTCCTCACTAAAGATGGACTGGATGAGGCAGGAGGAAGCAGAGGACAAACACGTAGCATCAGTACCCCGCAAGCCAGCACGGAAGAGGCAGAATATGGAGCACAGTGATTTAAGAGTGAGCCCAGCTCTTGGTGCACATGAGATGCACCATAAAACGGTAACATAACCACCCTGCTCCCTGGAGGACAGCAGGATCTGTCCTCGAGCAGGGACACATCCTTCTGCAGCCCAGATGCTGCATTTCCAAGCCAGGGCAGCCAGGGAGGAGAGGTCAGCTCTTTATTTATTTACTAGCAGCCTGTAGCTTGGCATCTCGGTCTCGGGAATGCTGAGCACCTACATCCCTCCTTTTGACTTCAGGCAAAGTCAGTTCTCAGCTTCTCTGGAAATCAGACGACTGCTCCAGCTCCGAGCCCTGCCTCCTGTCAGGACTCCCGAGCCCAGCTCTGGCCTTTGCCTCTGAGCTGTTATTTCTTTGTTAGTTAACTCCGTTGCAATTCCCAGAGCTTTGGGTTCAATGTATCCCAGCTACCTGCCCTACCAAAGGATGGGCCGAAGGGAAGACCTCCAGCTCACTCATAAAAACAAAGGCAAAATCCTTGCAGCAACATGGGGAGATGAGGCTGGTTGTAAAGAGTTTGGAGGAAAAGGTGGCTGCACAGCACACAGGTCAGGAAAAGGACCTTCATGGCATACGTGGGAGTCTTCCGGGCTATTTTTTGTCCCTGCATATAGGAGGCTTTAAAAAGTAATGCAGGAGATCCTACTGGACACTGCAGCAGCTGGCACGAACAGCTGACCTGTGACTCGAGCAGGTCAGAACACACAGGACCCAACTTAGTTACTTCTTGAGTAAATAGCACTGCCAGGGGCAGTAATTCGTGCCACTTACAGCCTCATTCTGCCTGTGACAGGAGTCACTTGAACACAAGTTTTAAGAATCACAATTCCGGGATACTAGAAAACATTCACAGAGGATCTATTCTGATGACTATTTTTAGTCGGATATATCAGGTTTTGTTTTTACAAGGACAGTAAAAGAGGTTCTCAAGCAAAAACTGCCCCAAACCCATTTTGTACAACTTATCTTGCAATTTATACCCTCCAGATCCATGACATTACCCTGGTGCAAAGGAAGAAGCAATGAGGATAGAAATGTAGCTATAAATGGTCTCATCTGACAAGCACCACAGCATCCAATTTACATGATTCCAATCTTCTGCTACAATGCTTTGTGGACAAGAACCTAGTAAGTATATTTAAACTCTATTTAGTCCTAGGGAAATGCTGGAATGTGTGCACTCATATACAGTGGTCATAAGCGCTAACAAGCACCAAACTCCAAAACACATGGAGCAACTGGAACATCTCTCAACTCACCTGCAACTCCATTGAGCAATGCACTAATTAGAGAGAAATTTAATTACCAATACCAATTCTGTAACCATCAGTCCTTATTTCTGTGGAGGACAAATTGTCCCACAGAAACACGTTGATGCAAACTAAGGAGGAGCTTTTTCATACCAGAAGATACAAGGTATATGTCCACATCTGCAGCTAATTTGCTGAACGGCCTTGCCACAATTTCCTTCCCAGCTTTCCCTGGGAAATACATCAGTTTTCCTCCTTAAAGCATAGGTAATTCTGCAGTTGGCTCCATGAAAGTCTTTGCATTTCTGCAGCACATTCTCCTGGAGTTTTGAAAGCATTAATACTGACTTCCTCAGCACCTAATTTAATACTTGGCACCCAGCTAGATATCCAGAAATCAGATAGACACCCAGAAAACCCAACTGGCAAGTGCCATATTTCCTGTCCCAGCCATGACAAAACATTTCCCAAACCAGTTTTCTTCTTATAAAGAACGCTGCTGTCAAATCTCTAAAGCTCGCATTGCTAATACTTGCCCCAGCGCAAGGTCAGCCAAAAA